TGATGGCCAAACAACAATATAGATGAACCCGATGGCCCTGAATCACCTGTGAGAGAGCTCCTGGACATAACAAATTGCAAATGAGAAATAAAGGTCCAATGTGGTGAGCCAATGAAATTTAGAACATTGTTATTAATTACTTCAGCACTGCCTTAGCTATCCGATTTAACATGCTTCCCGAGGTTACACAGCTAACAAATGGCAGGACTAGGAAAATTTTTTAATAAATAAATTTCAGTTCTTAACCATCGTACTATCCTACCTCATAACCAGGTCCCATGGTCCCGGCATATAGACCTTTCGTCATAACATGCAATGAAGAGCTTTTGTGCTGCTTCCCTTCTCTTTGGGCTCAGTGGAAGGTTCTCCAGCTCTAACTGTCCTAAATTCAGGACTCAATTACTTTTGACTTGTGCTTTCTGCATCAGAAGTGGTAGTCTTTACCTAGAGGAAGACAATTCTCCTTTAAGTCTTAAGAGCTTGTCTTGACCTCAATGCTCAGAGTGAAATTAGAAAACGTCAAAATCATCAGCTCTTTCATTGGAACCTCATTTCTGTTTCTAGGTTATACAGCAAGCAAAGGAAACAGAAACTGTGTTACTTAGAATTCCAGACCAACCTCAAAACAGAAATCTCTCCTTCAGATTGGATGGTGATGAAATCTCAGATTTGCATAGCTGAAAATTAGTTCTCACTTATTCAAAGCCTGTCCTTTCTTCAGAGGCTTTCAGCCCCTGTTCCCACTAGCCCCTGCCATGGGTGTCATTTACGACTTCTTGGCACCTGCACTTGCGTAAGAGGAAGAAGCCAGTCAAAGATGAAAAAGAGTGCTTCTGATTTGCTGCTCGCCTCTGTTAAGTAACAGTGATTTATGGTTTTGCAGGTGTGGACATCTTAACTCCATGAGTTATGGGGTTATTTGTTAGCATGCTTCATTCATAATCTCTTTATTCCAAACAGCCACCAATGCTGGGTATGCTTCTGTCCAGTGAACAACATAAAATATGGAATAATCTCTTTTTCTGAATGAGGACACATGTTCCTTCAATCTGCTTTGTGACTTAATCAGTGTGTCGTTATTAATGAAGCAGAAGATATCGTGAATCAGTCAGAAAGAATAGCCTGGCCCTATGCATCTCATTTCCCAGTTGAGCGTTCAGCTGTAGACAGCATTCCTGCCAAAGCGCTCCAGCGTCTCCCTAGATTTCATATTGAGGGGACATTTGCAGACTCACATGAGGCCTTGTAAATTCTGACCTGTAAACCAAGTAAACAGTGAAAGTAGATTTCCTACCTTTCTTGGCTTGCTGGCCAAGAAAAAAGTGAGTTGGACGGCCAAGGTCAGGTGTGAACTATGAACGTTCTCAAAGGAATGTGTTTATTGAGTAAGATAATGACATTAGAGAATGTAACAGCACTTTTCACATCTAAAGTTGCTATTTATGTCTAGTATGTATGATTTTTATTTATAATTCAAGTTTAATAGTAGATCTGGAGACCTTTCCACAGTTTAAAAAAAAGGTTGTGAATTTGTTTTGCTTTTTTGTTGCAGATAGTATGAAAACTAGGAGACTATTTTTTTCTCTCTCTCATTCTCCTTGCCAAAGAGCAATATCTTGTGATTTAAGAGCCCTCCTTCCCAGTTCCCATGGCACTCACAGCATGACAGAGCAATTTGGGTAGTTAGGATGTGGAGGAAGGAAAAGAAGAAACGCTGTGTGAAGTGTCCTAAAGCAACTCACCACGGCTGAGGAAGTATTTCTTCATCCATCAAGCCCTACCTCTGTTCATGAGAACTTACCACCTACTTCTTCCCTGCTCTTGGCTCCCTCCACTCTGACAGATTGACAGATACATTCTAAAGTTTGAGTGGGCTGACATTCAATGGTCTTTATCTCCCTCAAGACTTTATTGCAATGACCTCCATTCATTCCTTCATGTTTGATTTGCTTTCTTTTTATTTTCCTAACCTGTATAACTCTAATCTTTTAAAAAAAAAAAATCCCATTAGAGCTGACTAGAAGTTTTTCTAATTATCTAAATCATATAAAAATTCCATGCAGGAGGGACTCGAAGTTGCCTAAGACTGGGGTCAACAAACTTTTTCCATCCAAAGACTGTATCCATTTTTTTTTCCTGCTGAGAGAATGCTTATAATGTTTCATATTTCCAAAAAATATGTGACCCAAGAAAGGTTACAGCAGTCTTTGGGTAACCTAAATGAGCTTCTTGGATCTGATTTATGGCAACCACCAAAACGGTGTTGAGATTAAATTCCATAACACATCAGGCATGTAGTCAGGCATGCAGTAAGCAAGAAGTGCTGGTGGCAGGGCCTGAGAAATTTAGGGCTCTGTGTGAGGAACGCAGGGCATCCAGATCCATGGCTTCTGGTAGAGATTCTGCTGCTAACTTAATGAATGAATAGGCAAGAGATCTCATCTCCCTGGCCGCTATTTCCATGTCTTTAAAGTTATGGAGTTGGATTTACTCATTGCTTTCAAACTTGACCTGGAGTACTTTGTGAAATTCTAGATCACTGGGCCCTACCTGCCACCATTTGAAAGACATTCACTGGCACCTGATTTAAAAAAAAAAAAAAAAAAAAAAGCTTCTCAAGACATTCTGTTATCTGCTAAGTAGAAAAATCAGCATAGCAGACACTCTAGGATGACTTCTACTTTTAAAATGTTGAGTTTCCCTTAAAGTACTATCTCCTATACTTAGCAGAATCTAGGTCAGCATGAAGTGTTAGTCCTGAGAATGAATATCAGAGTACTCTTTAAACAGAAGTGGTTACCATTGTATGTAAATATAATTATTTCTTCAGATATTCTATCACAGTGTTGGGAAATTACTGATTATAGATGAAGTTATACTTGATTCTGCTTGGCTCTGGACCATCAGTAAGGTTGGTGAAATATTAGGGAGGGTTACTTTGGGTGATTAAAGGCATCAAAAATAGGAGGAAGAAAAAAACATTCCATGTCAATCACTTTGAAATATATTATTGCACTTAATGCCCATAACACCCCACATTGTGCTCATTTTACTGCTTAGTCAGCCACGAAGTAGCAACCTTCTACAAGCCACTTAACTCTGTCTAGGCCTTTTATTTCCTCTTCTGCAAAGTGGAAATTAAAAATACCTACCTCAGACGATCACAGTGAGAATTAATGGACATAATGCTTGGGAAACACCTCACAGAGTGCTTATCACTTGATGAGTATTTAATTTATAGGTGATAGAATAAGAAACCTGACGTTGGTTATGAGATGTTGCTACTCAGAAGTGTGCCTCCTGGGCCAGTGGCATTTGGATGAAATGGGAGCTCACTAGAAATTCGGAATCCCACGCCCCACCTTAAATCTCCCAAATTAGAATCTGCATTCTAACACGATCCCTAAGTGATTCATTTGCACATATATATTTGAGAAGTGCTACTACTGGAAAACAACCCTGGGACTCAGGGCTTAGCAACTTGACGAAACTCATCTGGTAGTAAAGCAAGGAGCCTGGAGCACAGACCAGCATCTTTTCCTTATACCTCTGAGGGCATCTGTATGAGCTGGAGCGTCTCAGGCTGCCTGAATCCCATCATGATGTTCTGTCTTTAATCTAAACTACAAATGAAAGCCTTTTTAAAAACACATTTTCATGCCTACCACAGTAGAAAAAGCACCATAATTTGGTTTTATTTTTCACATTTTTAATTATTCAGCTGTTTTATTTGTCACCGTTTAGGGAATTATTACGAAACTTATGTCCAAAATGCTTCTGATTAGTGCATATTTAGGCAACTAAGCAGATGTAGCATGGGTTGACTTCTTTGATAAAATTAAATATTGATGAAACATGTATTTTCACAGCAATAACGATGCTGGCATTTGTATAAATAATGACAGATCCATTTCCCTAATCATCTAGAGGGAAAAAATGATGAGAGAGTAAGAGAATTACAAAGATGTCTGGCTTACTAGGCAGATCACTTTTGAGTGCAAATTTCTTTTATGTGAATAAAATTATGTTAATTGATAGCATCTATTACCACATTAAAATGAAGTTACTGTATTTGAGCGAAAAACAATGTGGATGATATTAGAAGAGTGATTATAGGACATGCCACATTCTTCAGAGCTTCTTTACACATCATGGAAGATTATGTTTTTAATATGCTCCTCCACAGTACCAAAGTTCTATTTTATAAAAAAAATGCGTCCTGAGATCCAAGCTTAGCTGATTTTAAGGTATACATTTTTGGCCCACATTTTAGCTTCTCTGAAATGGAGATCTGTCTTAAATGGACAGCATGTCACAGTTGTATTAATAGTGGATTTTTTTTCCTTTTTTCTTTTTGCAATCAATGAAACCTTAGATTCCCTGACATAAGGGAATATCATTCCCAGTAAACTTAATCTTAGTCCACAAGGAACACCATGGTGAGTTCCGTATCAAACAGACAGGAAGGAGACATCTTCTTTACCATCATTCCAGGGAAAAGAGGGAGGCAGAGAAAGAGAAAGTAATGAGATTGAACAAGAAAAGATTTAATGAATTTCTATTCACAGAGCAAGAGAGAAAAATCAGGAAGGATAAGAGAATTTAGCAAAAGAGCAGGAAAGAATACGGAGGTGAAAACATAAAGAGAGAGAATGAAGTGTCAGAATGAAAAATACAGCCAAGAACCCAATATTGGGACCATTATTTCCTAGGTGTGGTGTCTTGCGGTGGACCTTTAACTTGTTGCTTGTTTTGACTTCACTCACACTAGCCAGTCTAGGTTCTCGAGGGTGGGTAAGACTTGGGAGGTGTTTTGAAGCACATTTCAGAAGTTACCTCCTCCTCTGACTTCTACAGGTACCTCCATCCCCTCCCCACGCTCCCTGTGTCCCTTCCACACACATTCTCTGTACACGCATCCTGCTGCCTCCCCTATTTCACTCAGCCCCTAACCAACAGGAAGTTGAGATGATTGTTAAAATTTCTATTTGTTCTTTCAGGTGATAACAAGATTATCGAACAAATCTACAGTCTCACAGGTACGACTTTTGCTAAAGACCTAAATATTTATCAAAAACCTGGACAATTTCCAATAAATCTTTCTTTCTCTTCAGAATTGGGTGTATTTATTATTTACTTTCTTGAATTCACTTCCCAATGAGGAACATGGCAACTGATTTTCTTGAGTTTGGGTATAGAGAAACACTGAAACTCAGATCTCTACGTAAGTGTTTTATAGCTAGTGTTATAAAGCACTTCCTAACAATGCCAAAACCTGCCAAAAGCAGCAGAGGCCTGAGCTATTGATCTTAGAAGTACTTTCACTGTGTTTAAAATTGCCCATCAGTTTTTTTTTCTTATAAGGATCCAATGTCTTGTAAGTACCCATAATGGTACAAAAATGGAGAGGTAGTCTGGAAGTAGTTTCACTTCAGGTCTTGAAGATCGTTCCAACTTTTAAGGACTCTAGAGTTTCACAGAAAACTTTCCCAAAGAAAAAGTGATTTGTCAGATATATCAGGTAGACTTTTATTACTAAGAATCCTCTAACAGAGAGAGGCACACACACAGATCCAATTACATTACACACTATGAACTCACTGATAAGTTACTAAAGATGATGAAGGAGGGGCAAACTGTTGACTTTTAATGTAACATTGAGATGCTTCTTAAAAACTCTTGAAGTGCCTCTGCTTTCAATCAACTTCCTCTGTGGCGGAAGCTGTCTGTTCTGACTTCTCTTCAAAATCCTCCTCAACAACAAGCAAAGTGGCCTTTATGCTCAGTTGTCCCCTCAGGCAGCCTTTCCTCACTACTTCCCCTCCCATCCTTCTATATTCCCTTTTCTATGAAAAGAAATTTAGCCTATTTTTGTATCTTCCCATTTGAATTCCTCTCCCCTTCCTACCACCCTGAAGATGAAGATCCCTCCCCAAAATACAGCATTTTTAACTTTCAAAAGAAATACCTTTCTAATTTATGTTGGAATTCATTTGTAATTTTAAAAACAACAAAATAGTGGAGGTTTCAAAACAAGAGATGTTTAATTCTTGCTCATGGGCAAGTCCATAGATGGATAATATAACAACTCCAGTGTGTCAGTGCAGTCCTGGGATTTCTTCATTTTGCTAAGTCATCCTCAACATATAACTTTTTCCCCATGAGCTCTTCATTCTCCAGGTTCATTGCTGAACATTCGTCTATTTCATCCATATTCCAGATTAGAAACCAAAGAAATATGAGAGAGCCCCTCCCTATTTCTAGGAGCCTTCCTAAAAGTTCCTTAAAAGATGTCCACTTATATGGCATCATCTCAGAGTTTAGCCTCAGAACCCAAGTAAGTGGCACAAGAAGCTGAGAAAGGCAATCTTTGAGCAGAGTGCATTGCTAAGAATTCTGTTAACTAAGAAAGAAGGGAAGAGTGCTTAAAAAGAGGTTGCCAGCATTCTCTGTAGCCCCTTCTGCAGCATAAATACTTCCCTCTTCTTTATGGTCATCATCTTTGCCTGGGCAGGCATTTACTAAATTCTCTCTTCACATATTGCTTAATTTTCATTTTTGAATAACTAATATTTTCCTTGCACTGTTCCTAATGTACAGGTGAGGAAACCAAGACTTCAGTAATTATATTACTTGAGCAAGGTTACAGCTAGTAAGTCACAGGACTTGTAAAACTTACTCATGCATTCACATTCAACCACTAGACTTTTTACTACTCCAAGACAGAATCTAGTCACTTGTGAGTTTGGAGTGACTGTTTCAGCAAAATGTCATTAACCAAATTCCAGACTCATTCGACTTTGAGTACGTACTGTGTATAAAAACCTCATTGCCCTCAAAAGAATGTTTGCAAGGAGGATAATGAAGGGTTGGATCAGTTGAGAAGAAAGGATTCTGTGGTTGGACTTTCCGGTCATGTATCATGGGGGAATCCAGCTACACAAGGGAAGTAAGTAATCTGAAGAGAATGACTGACACTCCTGCACAGAGGCTAATGTGAGGCTGGGTGTTTGGTAACATAAGAAATTTAGGTCCTGTCTGCAATGATGGTAATTGGGATGATGACTTATTAACATAAGTAATGTCTGCTTCTTCAAGTGTGAGAGTTGGTCTCTAAGCAGCTTATCCACGGCACCAAGTCTCCATGACAAAATGGTAGTGTGATAGTTAGACAAACCTGTAGAAGTACAAATAAGTGATAGGAAGTTAGTCAGAGGAATCTATTAGAGTCAATGGAGCCTCTTGAAACAAAAGAATTATTAGCTTGCCAATGCAAATGTACACATCATTCTAATTAGAGAATGTACTCATTGTTGTTTTCATTCCTTTGATAAGCTTGCCCTGTTGAGTCTTTAGTTGGTAAACTAATTTTTCTATTCCACAACACTAGTATACAAATGCTCCCCCTGAAACTCTATGTGTGCCCCACTTTTATTAAAAGCACGGAGTTCTAGATACTCTGAAAAACAAAAACAAACAAGTAAAAGCAACACCATGACTATTCAAATAGAGAACTTATGGTTTCATCATTAATTAAAATAACCAAGTGTAGCTGGAAAGATGAGTCTAGGAATGCCATTTAAATTTTGAGCCATTAAGATTAAAATTTAAAAAAAAAAAAACCTTTCTGAGTAAACCAACCATTTCACTTAGCAGATATGACCTAACCTAAATGGACTATTGCCTGTAAGTCACAAACTGTAGATATTTAAAAATGTATATATGCCAATGAACCAATTGTTCATTAAAGTCATACCCATGATGGCTCATGAGATTTAGATTATCATCTTAGATATTTGAGGGTTATTTGTCTTATTTTTATTAGAGATTGTTGATAAATGGGCATAAGTGACTAAATCACCAAAAGAAATGGAGACGCAGAAAAACAAATTGGTCTTTTGGAACAGAGAAGCCATGTCTGGGGCACACTATTGGAGCCATTAGCTTAGCCTTTGGTGACCTCTTTGCCCACCCGCTCCATCATCACCTCACTTGTCCTTTCCCACCCTCTTTTTGTTCTCCTTGGCCTACAAGGTTGAATGAACCTGGTCAAGAATATAGTGGTTCTAAAATGGGTTAGGGCAAGATTCTTTTTCCTTCTTTTCCTAAAGTTTCTCAGAGGAAATCGACCAGCTGGTTTGCATCACTTCTTGCTCATGACTTGTGAGAACAGGAGAGCAGGAAACAGAATAACTGAGGACACTTCTGATATTTTTCCATTCGTATGATCAAAAATAAGAAACTTTTTTTATTCTCAAGGATAATGTAATTCTGCTGGTTGATCTTCATGTAAAGTTCCACGAATGGCTCTGTAATTTTAAATATCAAGCCCCCCCAACTCTCCATAGTGTTTCTATTCCTAAGAACATGTCATTATTTTACTATCACAAGGTACAGGCTAATTAAAATCTAGATACAAACCTGGTAAGATGTACCTTTCCTTGCCCAGCTCCCCACCAAGAGAAGGGTGAGGACGAATGTCAAGAAATCAGAGAGGGTAAAAAGCGAGAAAAACTTTTAGCAGCTAAAATATAATAGAAAAATCTGAAAAGATTTCCATTTTCATGAAAAGTTAAGTTTCTAAGGAATCTGACTTTGTTCAAATGGGACCCCTGGCATTAATGATGTGCCCCTTAAGAGGTCTTTGCACTCTGTACTAATTTGTATTATCTACTGATTTAGTCAGAACCCAAGGGAAATGGCAGCATCAACAAGAGACTCCCATCCATTGTGGAAGATGAAGAGGAGGAGGAAGAGGAGGAAGAGGAGACGGCCTCTCTATCTCCAATCTACACGAGGAGATCGTCCACTTCACGCAACAAGAAGGTTGGAAGCAATAAAAGCTATCTAGGCTTAAGCTTAAAGCAGCTGGCTTCAGGAACCGTGCCATTTCACTCCCCTGTCAGAGTCTCCAGTTCAAATTCCCCCAAAGCCAAGCAGGAAAATGACCCCATAAGCCATGGTAAAAGGAAAGAGAAGAACTTGAAATTGCAACTTTCAACCTCAAACAGTGCTGGACCCCCAGACCTCAGCCCAAGGTAAGAGTTCACATCATATAATTCATTCGCAGGTGGCACTGGTTGCATTTGATGCAGCTTGTACCTGCCTAGGAAATTAGTCAGCCATCTGAGCCTTTCTACTGCACAGGCTCCTAGTCCGGCTTGTTAAGTTTTCCTGAATTCTACGTGAAGTTTTTTGAGTATAGATATAGGTATGTGTACAGTATGGGAATAAATAATCTCCAAAAGATGTATTGAATTTTCAAAATTCCTCTCTACTGCTTTTATTCATTTAGCTCTACTTTTATGTTAAATGCATATTCCTACACTGGGATTTTATAATTTATAAATTTATAACAAAAATGAAAGAGATGAACAAGCACCATCAATATTGCCCCTCAAAGCCTAATCTTGCCTAAAATTTCATCAAGCAATGAGTTGAAATGATGAAAGAAACAAAATGCTGATTTTTATTTTCCATACAATATTGCCTCCTCATTTTAGATGGCTGAAGCTTAGTTTTATTTCTGGTCTCTGCAGTAGGTAAGATATCATGGCTTTATTTTTAATTTAAAAAAAAATCAGTTTAGAATTAACCAATGGTGATTGAGTGGGTAAAAATTCCTGACTTGAAAAATGTTTAAGGTGTTCAGCTATGGTGCATAGTAGCAATAACAGTCATCAAAGTCCCTGAATAGCTGAATAATAAATAGAAGCATGAAAAAAAATAGCATGTTTGTTTTCTATTCACTTCACTGCATAATTTCACATTTTCTGTTGCATTTACTCCTCTCAGAAGCATACAAAATAGTTTATGTCATCTCTGGTTTAAAGGTGTAAGAACTGAAACCTGAAGTTTAAATATTTTGTCCAATAATCTCAGAGATATTAAGTATTGAAAGCTGGATTCAAACTGGTTTTCCACCTGTAAAGCAAATGATCTTTATCCATTTGACAAAAACTTAACTTATCCATTAAGGGAGAATATTAAGAAAATAAGCAAAACGAGGTGAACAGGAAATTTTTAGGAATTCAGTCAGAGATGGTAACTTGAAAATTTTTTTTAATTTGTCTTCTTGAATTTTTACTAATGTTTAATAATTTATAAATAAAAGGAAAATGTATCCGAGTTGAGGAAGGAACTATCATCTGACATTTATAGAAAGAATATATGTTCTTCTAGACAGAGAGAAAGAGTGTGAGGACGTGCACCAGAATGTTGAGTGTAGCAGGTGGTTTTTATTTCCTGATGTTTTGTTACTTTTATGTTTAAAATTTCTGCAATAGACTCACATATTTAAATAATGAATGGGCTACACATTATTTACCAAGGAAGAAGAACTAAAGTCCTGATAGTAGTTTAAATATAATTCTTGAACTCTCATAGTTAAGCATTTTCTCCTAAAGAGTTTTCTCCAAGTGTAGAGTGCAGGTGTCATCAAATTTATTTTCTGTGATAATTAAGTTAAAATATTTTCTGTAATGATTAAGTTAAAATATTTTTGCTTGTATAGAGTATTCAATATGAATTTAGATAAGAAGACTTCTGTATCTTAAATATTTGAACCTGAGAATCAATGTAAGGGTAGTAGTTACTATATAAGGCTAACGGTTATCATGCTGCATAGCTCAGCTCTAGAGTTAAATTTAGAAAGTTAACACAATATTTGTTAAAATCTTTTAAAAATAGTGGAATCCATGAATATATGACATATGCACAACCAATTTCCCTTATTTTAAATAGGATCGTTGATGGAATTGAAGATGGAAATAGCAGTGAAGAAAGTCAGACATTTGACTTTGGCTCTGAACGAATCAGGCCAGAGCCCAGAATTTCTCCTCCTCTTGGAGGTAAGCTCTATATTTAGATTTTTTCCCAGGGGGCGATATTTCTAATATACTTAAAAGGTTTTACATAGCCACTGCCGCCGCCACCACCTCCTCCTCCTCCTCTTCCTCCTCCTCCTCCTTCTTCTTCTTCCCTTTCCCCTTCTTCTTCTTTACATTCTCATTCTCAGCATATTCTCCACATGATAGAACTTTACCAATTCCATTAAATAATCTGACTTAAGTCTATGCCTGCTCTAAGATATTAAGATATTATTTAGAATTGTTCCTTTGTCTAGCCTAGACGGACTGTTATTTAACAGATCTTAACTGAAGATCCTTCCTTGTAAGACTCCTTGATTGATAGGGAGGAGAATGCAAAAGGAGTGGTATAATCTCAACTTATTGATTCAATTGACTTCATGTGCTTGGGGCAAGATCAAAGAAATCATAGTTCTCAGACTGGTGGATTTGCAATGAAAGCTTGTGGTACATCCAATTGTACATTTTCCTTGTTGACTCACCTGGAAAATCCACAGGACTTCACCACTTCTATCCACTACTTCTGGTCCCAACGCCCTCTTAGCTTTCTCTTCTCCTTTACCCATCACTTACTCCTACACTCAGCTATTCAAGTAACAAGCTTTCTAGACTCAACCTACTAAATATCTCTCAGTTCTAGCCAAGACTTTCTATTGTCTCTGCCACCACTCTCCTGGCCACATCCAGCTCTGGCCTACATTGTTACTAACATCTTTCCTCTGTTCTCACACTGTTTTCCATACAGAGTGAACTTTAAAAATGCAAATTTACTTGTATTACTCTACTCCTACACTTGAAACTCTAAAATGGCTCCCTATTACCCAAGAAATTTAAACCTATTGCATAATTAGTTTTATAAATGTTTCCTTTCCCTGCTAGAGTCTAATCTTCCTGAGGGTCAATTATATTTTCTTTATTCATGTCCTCCAAAGCAGAGCTGGCTTGATGTGTATGATCTGCAATCATTCGTTGAATGAACAGATTATCTCTGCAAAATATTTTAGCAAAATGAGTTCTTATTACCCTGCTTTGGACTATTTTTGAATGACTTTTCTTCCCCCACAAATGTATTGCTACTTATAATTGACCAGACTTAGGGTGGTCATATCATAAAATGTATATTTATATTCTTTCAAATCCTTTTCACTCCATCTGGCAGTGCGTCATCTATACTTTTGTCCATGATAGAAATAAATGTATTTAGAGAAGTAGAGAAAAAGTGAAGAAGAGAGAACTAAAAAGTGGGAAAATGTATTATTTTAAATGACACAGGAAGAGATGGAAAGCTGCAGTGGAGATTAGTCCCTGAAATAGAGATGAGAGGAAAGTGCGCTCCGAGGCACAGGAATCAATATTAGGGGAGGAAAGAGAAGAAAAAGAACAGCCCTTTTCTTTCTTTCTTTTTTTTTTTTTTTTTTGGCAGTTTTTTTGGCTGAGGCCAGGTTTGAACCCGCCACCTCCAATATATGGGGCTGGCGCCCTACTCCTTTGAGCCACAGGCACTGCCCCAGAACAGCCCTTTTCTATTACGTGGGCACTGTACATTTTCAGAGACTAGTCAAAGAAGAGAAAATGTGCCATCTTGGAACCTGGCGGCGATTATGTCTGGGGGAATAGGAGATTTGCCACAGACACTACAGTTACTGTAGTCACGGTCAACACCATGATGAGTGCCTAGTTCCAAAGATTGTATCAGGTGCCAACCAGAGGAGTACAAGAAGCTTGTCTGATCCTGGGAAGACAGAACTTACAGACATCAAAAAATCTTAACAACGATTGCTTGGGCTTCCTTCCATATTTGAATAACCCCCATCCTCCTATCTGAGGCTTACTTAAAGGACTCATTCAGTGTGCATGTCAATTTTCAGACCCAGAGATTGGAACTGCTGTTCTCTTCATCAAGGCAGAGGAGACCAAGCAGCAGATAAACAAACTCAACAATGAGGTAAGGAGCTCTTTCTTTCATCATGCTGGAGTGGGAGGAGTTGTAAGGTAAATCTTAGTTACCAGAAGAAGTGGTATACATGGGCATTATGGTAGTCATAGCGAGGCCTCTGATAACAGACTGCCTCAGATGAACCCTCACTCAGCCTCATATAAGCTGTGTGACCTTTGCCAAGTCAGCTATTCCTTCTCATGCTCCATTTCCCCAGGTATACGAAGGGACAGTAATAATGCCTTCCCTGTGGCCCACACTCAAAATTAAGTGAGATAATCTAGGTGAATAATTTAGCATAAAGTAAGCATTAAATAAATGATAATTATTATAATTAGTGTCATAAATATATTGATTATGTGGTTTAATTGGTGCTTTTTAGATTTGGGGGGGACCTTTAATTTTTAATGCGCAAGATCATTAGTCCATAGAAAAATATTGTTTCTTAGAGTAGTCAAATAGCTTTAACTCTGTTCTTTTCTCTGAAAAATATTTGCTTTGTAACTTTGGGAACTTTAGCTCTCTGGATCCAACTACCTGTTTATGCCAAATGAACTAAATGTTTAATAACTTTATTGAGGTATATTTACATATCATAAAATTCACTTGTTTCAAATATAGAATCCAATGAGTTTTAGTAACTTTATTGAGTGGTTCATCTAGCACCATAAATCAGTTGTAGAATATGTTTTATGCCCAGAGTGAGATTTCTCATACCCATTAACAGTTAATGTGTATTCTCATGTCCAGCTGTAGGCAACTACTTATCTACTTTGTTTTTATTACTTTGGCTTTGCTGGACCTGGTACAGTTACTCATGCCTGTAATCCTAGCACTCTGGGAGGCTGAGGCAAGAGGATTGCCTGAGCTCGAGAGTTCAAGACCACCCTGAGCACTATGGATTTATAGTATAATCTGAGGTCTGGTAGCGTGATTCCTCCTGCTTTGTTTTTATTCCTGAGTAATGTCTTGGCTATTCGAGGTTTTT